CTGGCTGTACTTCTTCCAAGACAGATTTGTTTGTTCTTCTGGCAGTCCATGGTATATTCAATATTCTTTGCCAACACCATAATCCAAAGGTGTCATTTCTTCTTCAGTCTTCGTTATTCATTATCCAGGTTTTGCATACATACGAGGTGATTGAAAACACCATGGCTTGGGAGTATGGCATGGGACTGGGCAGTGTTTCATTCTGTTGTACACTATGAGTCTGAACCAACTTATAAAATATAAGATGTAAACAGGGCTAGTGTATTTCAGTTTTATGTGTTGTATCACGTTAGGCACAAGTATTACTTTATAATTGCCTTTATTCAGACATTATGTATGGTTGAAGGAGATGTGTAGAGGTGCCAAGTTGACAACAGGTAGAGTGTGATGGTTAAGGAAGTGTATCAACTTGGCTGGGCCATGATTCTCACTAGTTTGGGAGTCATATGATGTGATCATTTCCATGATGAGATTTGATATAATGTGATCACCTCCATGATGGGATCTGCTGTGAGTAGCCAATCAATTGAAAGGGAATTTCCTTGGGCGTGTGACCTGCATCAAATATAAGTGGACATTCTGGCAAGGCTCGTGGGCTTTTGCTCATTCTGGATCCTGCAGCTGGCTCTTGTTTATCTGACTTCTGGTTCTTGGGACTTGAGCTAGCAGCTTACCTGCAGTCCTGCCTGCCAATCTTGGGGCTCGTCGATCTTTGCAACCTGTGAGCAAGAGCCCTGCTCTCTGATCTGCTGATCTTAGGTTAGCCAGCCCCTGCAGCTACCTGAATCAGGAGACGCCTGTATCCTGACCCACAGACACTCCAGCCTTTACAACTGCATGAGCCATTTCCTTGATATAAATCTCTCTCTATATTTACTTACATGCTTTACTGGTTTTGCTTCTCTAGAGAACCCAGCCTAAGACAGTGACCAAACTAAAACCCCACTACCAACTATACTTGAGAGGGGCTCAGATAGGAATCATACCTCGTATGTTTCCCATTAGTGGAACACACCTAGAAGAGCCTTCTGGCTTTTATGAACAAACTACTCTTTGTATGTTAAAAACAAAGCAAACAAACAAAAACAACATTTTTATCCACTGGCAGAGGAACTGCCTATAAAAGCAAACATGCTTACTAGAAATTCATTGAGTATTCCTGCAATAACTAGTATTGGACATCACAATTTCAAGAGGGAGTTTAATGGGGGAAAAAAGAGATAATTTAAAACACAGAAAAAAAACCCTGATGTATGCAAACTCTAAAAGAAATTTGGATTATTTACTTGAGATGAGAAAAGGGTATTTTAACATTGTCTTAAAGTAAATTTTTTTTGGGGGGGAGTGGGGAAATCTTCCACATTTCGACAGCAGTAAAAGGCTAATATACAGTAGGCTCTGAATTTCAGCAAAGGAGACTGATATAAAATATAACAAAAGAATTTCCTCTCAATAATAAACTTTGTTAATATTGAACTACTTCATAACACTAGGTCAAAGCTTCTAAAGGAGCTATTTAAGAAGAGAATATAAAGTTAAACTCCCCACACTTACAGTTTAAGTATTACTTGCTGTAACATAAAGTGACAACATAGTAAAATTTTTCAGGCTTCCATTAGTCTATTCATACTTTTGTAAATGTAAGCAAAAATGGCAATAATTAAGTTCAAGTAAAGCTGATAAAAAAAAAAAAAATTGGATTCAACCCCTTGGGAAGAGTCACAGAATAAAACTGAGTCAGTTCAGATTCAGTTTGGAGACTATTTTGATGCTTCAAATTTCCTTTGGCTCAGAAGTTGTAGACTTTGTTCATTTCAGACTGTGATTTTTCTCACTTCAGTTCACAAATTGATTCCAAAAACCCTAAATATTTTGTTTCAGTTTGATTTACTGTTCATAGTCTGCACTTGTTTTAGTCTCATTATTTGATCCAATTTAAGCTCTCAGTTTTTCGGATTTTCTTAATTAGGTGATACCAATTTATTGAATTTGAGGTCATGGACAGAGAGGTTCAACAAATGCTTCCTGGCCTATTTGAAATGATCTTACTAATCTGAGGACCTGTTATATAGAAATGGCTTATTGCTAAGCTGTATTAACTCTGTTACCATAATTTGGTGAACTCATTGTTATGGAAGATAATAGAAGCATTTCAGAAAGGATAAAAGAATATTTTAAAAAAGGTGTCAGCAGCAGATGCTTCAAAATGAGAAATTCTACACAAGAGAGAGGAAATTACAAAGGATAAGACAGTGAGAAGGACAGGCCTGCATAAAATAAAAATCCCACACAATTAACAAATATCTATATATTGGAAGATAATGGATCAAAATTAAATAAAGGTCACTGAACCTACCTGAGCAAGAGGCTTATTCTCAAGTAGTGTTTCATGCTGAAGGAACTTATCCAGCCGATGCTCCTTGGCAATATGTTCAGACTCGTCAGAGAAGAGGACGGCATCCCCATCAAAGGCCACACGGAGCTGTGTGTCACAGTAAGCCATATCTTTGGCTCCATCAAACATTGTTGCAGAGGCGATCCCTGATAGACCATGAGGATTGATTAAAACTCTTCTCAGGACCATAAGTTTTAGTTTCCTCATTTAAAAAAAAAAAAATCCTCCCAGACCCCATGCTTCCTCTTTAGCTATTATCTGATGATTCAACCCCTTCATGCTGTTATCCACACACTGTCTCCATTTCTATAACGGATAGAAACATGTAGAATGGGTTATAAGACTATCACTGAGGATGTCCACCTCCAGGAAGACCAAAGCTCTAAAGGACACACTTGAGGGCTACTACCTGTGAAAATGCCTTAGCAGAAAGCCTACATGGAAATGAGCCCAATGTAAGTAACCACTAGAACCAAATTAGATTAACTATAGGGATAAAACCAGGTTGATACCTTCTTGAATTGCTTCTTGCACTTTTTCAGAATCCGCAGAAAGATACAAGTTGGTAAGATATGCCTTCAGATAGCCAACGGGGCTTTTTCCACCGGTCAGACAGAAGCGGTCAATTAGTAAGCCTGTCATTAGGCAAGAAAGACTTTGTTATAGCAGAGACTAAAGACAAAATACTGTAAATCCATGGTGCCAATGATAGTTACCTTAGGAATAACTGAGTACCTATTTAGGTTTCAGAATTACCTTCATAGCACCACTACTGGAAAAATTATCGGCTATTTTACATAAGAGAGGATGTGTTGGGTACATTATAATTTATGAAATACAGCCACATAGACTGCCAGTTTACTCTCACAACAACTGTATGGGAAGTATTATTAACCCCATTACCAAAAAGGAAATTGACAATGAGAGACTTGTCTAAGCCCACTGGTTTACATGCACTGGGTAGACTTGAACCCAAGTGTTTGATTCTTGTCTAGACTAGAACAGTGCTCTTTTCCTTGAACTACAGCTTCCTCACTCTTTCAAGGGGCCAGTTAAGGTGCGGCTCTATTTTAAGTACCATTTTTGCATTTCTTCAGTTAACAATATAATGCTAATAACAAGTAGTGTTAAGATTTAAATAATTTTCTAAAAACAACAAAACGTCTAAAATTACCACTTTCCTGATGTGAAATTTTAAATGCAGTTATTAGCTGACTAAACAATAATATACCAATAAATGCTTTTCAAGTCAATAACAATTGTTAGAAAAACACAATGTTGGTAAGAGGTTTGCAAAATAGGCAGCCACATACACTATGGATGAAAGTATAAATTGGTAAAAGCTGTCTAGAAATTAGTTTGACATTATATACAAAGAACTTTGACCTAGCACTCTTTTTTTCAGAATTTATTCTAAGAGAATAATCTGTAATTACAGTAAAGATTTTGTTGAAAGGTCTCAGTGCAGGGTTATTTATAAAAGGAAAATATTATCCAACAATGTGAGAATAGTTAAATAGAGTATAATATGATGCATATGATAAAATATTACATACCTATTTAAAGTGTCTTTTACCTGTTACCCGTTGCCATCGAGTTGATTCTGACTCATAGTGACCCCACAGGACAAAGGAGAACTGCCCCATAGGGTTTCCAAGGAATGGCTTGTGGATTTGAACTGCCGCGTTAGCAGCTGAGCTCTTAACCACTGCGCCACCAGTGCTTTATTATTAACAAAACAGTCTCCCTTTTTCACTTAGGCCAGATAATAACACTGGCAGATAATTTAATGATCCAGAACTTATTTATGAAAACCCTGGTGGCATAGTGGTTAAGAGCTACGGCTGCTAACCAAAAGATCGGCAGTTCGATTCCACCAGGCACTCCCTGGAAACCCTATGGGGCAGTTCTACTCTGTCCTATAGGGTCGCTATGAGTCAAAATCGACTTGATGGCAATGACAACTTATTTAGTGACACTGGGACTTCAGAAATGATTGAAACATCACCTTTCTTCTCAAGGAGATCAGTTTGCCGGAGACAGGCATGTAAATAGATAATTATAATACAATATAGTAAGACCATAGCAGAGAGAGATACCAATTGCCTTCAGCACCCAGAGAAGGGAAGGAACTAACTTCCGGGTAAGAGATTGTTATTCCGTGAATAAGGCTGTATGAGAAGACTGAGCTTAATCAATTCATCAGCAGAATTGGGTAGATAAATATGATACCTCATGCTATTAGCCTCTACATGTTCAGTGTGGTGAGGGATAAACCCGTTGCTGTCAAGTCAGTTCTGACTCATGGAAACCCCATGTGTTACAGAGTAGAACTGAGCTCCATAGGGTTTCCTGGGCTATAATGTTTATGGAAGCAAATTGCCAGGCCTTTCTTCCATGGTACCAGTGGGTGGGTTTGAATTGCCAACCTTTCAGTTAGGAGTTGAGTGCAAACCGTCTGTGCCACCCAGGGACTTTGTGGTGAGGGATAGATAGCCCCAACTCACCTTAAAAGATAATAGCTCCCATACTAAGCACTTTAATACATTCTCTGTTTCTACTTCATAACGCGATGAAGACTGCATTTTTAAAAGGCAAAATTTATTTTAAAGTATGTACCAGTAAGATACCAACTTCATAATTGTTGCTGTTGTTGTTAGCTGCCTTCGAGTCAGCCCAGTCCTTTCTTCCTAGTCTGTCTTAGTCCGGAAGCTCTGCTGAAATCTGTTTAGCATCATAACAACACACAAGCCACCACAGACAGATGGGTATTTGTTGAGTATGTGGTACACTGGCTAGGAATCTAACCTGGGTCTCCCGCATAAATTCAACCACTGAATCACCAATGCCATTAGCTTGATAATTAGGGTAATAAAATATAGATCTCATAGCTTAGAATACTGTATATGCTGATTATTTATAAATAAGTGTCGAACAACCAAATGGGCTTATTTTGACTTGTCTCTGAATGACTGGGTATGCCACTTGGAAAATAGGCTGGAAGTCCTCCAGATAAGAAGTTAGGTAATTCCTTAATATGAAAAATGGGGGACTTCCTCTTAGAGTCCCCAACACAATTGATGGAAATCCTATGAAGAGACTGTTGGGTGCTGTCGAGTCGATTCCCACTCATAGTGACCCTAAAGGACAGAGTAGAACTGCCCCATAGGGTTTCCAAGGAGCAGCTGGTGGATTTGAACTGCCGACCTTTTGGTTAGCAGCTGAGCTCTTAACCACTGAGCCACCAGGACTCCATGAAGAGACTAGAGTTAATCAAATTTTCCACGTAAAGGCATAAAGACAGTTTTGCTGCTTATAAGTATGGATTTGATGTGTGGGGAGAGACAGCAGATAAGGAAAATCAAGTTGTACGAGTGGAAAGGAGAGGTGAAAACCTTTAAACCTTTAACATTTATCTGTGGTGAACAAGAAGTTTGATCACAGAGGAAAAAGCCTTTGGGTTGACGGCTCCTTGAAGTCAAGTTAAGAAGCGAAAAACATAAAGCAGAGAAATATATTGCAGGACCTAGGATTAAGACTTTGAAATTCACACTTGACAAGTTAAGTCCAGAGCTTTGGGCCCAGCTCTGTGCTGGAGTTAAAAATGAACATGGTCTCTCTTGTTCTGACAGAGGCAAATAAACATTCCTCACGCAGAAAGGGTGTCAGTATCAAAGATACTGCATTAGTTAGGCCACAGTTAGCCAAATAACATGGCTTCTCTCTTCCAGAGCAGCAAGCAAGTGTTCCACATGGTATTTATTTTACTTACCATAGTGATTGACGCTGTTTATAAGCCGCACTCCCACTTGGGCATGGTTATTAGTCATCAGTACAATATCAAATAAGTCATGTTCATCAGGATACAGCTCACGGAGTCGAGCATTGACATGCTGCAGTGCCTGCAGGTTACAAACATGAACGTGTGTAAAGAGAGGCAGGCAAGGTGGGCATTGGGAGACTGGAGAAGAAAGATCTCATTAGTGTCAAATTCAAGTTCCGAAGACTTCAGTGAAAGATTATGGCTCCTTTAAGGCAGAATTATGCCATTCATTTCTGTATTTTCACCTTCTCAGACAGGACCTCAGTTAATGTCTACTGAAAAAATGGGTAATGCTTGTGGGAAACTGTTACATTTGGTTTACTAGAATTTATGTCTGAGGGACAAGTAGAATGAAGGATCAGGCTAACCCTTTTACAGTTTGTCTATTTTCTAACCATGGATTTTTACACTAGGTTTGTGGTTTCCTCCCATGCTTCCAGTATGCCCTAAAAGTATTTATACCTGCAACTTGTAGCGGTGTCATTTGTTTCTGCATAGTTATGGAGTTATTGTGCAATATTAGTATAGGGTATGTGTGGTTATAAATACTATACATTTCTATATAACTTCAGAGAACCTTACCTTGTGTATAAAAATCATGCCTCTAAGTGCCAAGAGCATCCTGGTTTTCTTAATATGCTATGTTTTGAGGTCAGAGCAGCTAAAAGTGAATTTTATCTCATTTTAATGAGGTGTTGTATTTCTAGTTCCTCTATATTAAACTCATTACTACTTCTCACTACTCCTTCTACGGAGGGAGAAGAGGCTTCTATTGCAGGCCCATGATTTCAACTCCACTCAGAGAGACCCAACGTCCCACATCTAGTGTGAGGAGCCAGGGGCCCTTCCTCAACAATCTAGAAGCCACTGTGAAAGCATGAACTGACCTGGAGTCAATTGGGAAGGGGCAAGAATGACAAGGGTGGGCTAGGAATGATCAGGGAAACTGAACAAGCTGCCAGTAGTCATCCAGCCTCCTATCTGGCCAAAAACTGCTTTGCAGAGTACCTTAACAAAACGGAATGCGGGCCCTGGGGTCAAGATGACGTTCTCATTGTTGAGCTGATATTCCATGTACTTTTCCAGGCCCTCTTCCTCGTAGATTTTCCTGCCGTCCACCATGTTGAAGAGTGCCCGGGATGAAACAGCGATGGTGATGGCGTGCTTGGGTTTGGGCTGCAGACAGGGTTGCCAACAGGAGGATGGTCAGACAGGAAGGCATCAGGGATGAGGGCTCATGCCAGGGCAGGTTGGGGAGAAAACAGCTGGGCCCGAGCTTGGAGAATTGGGTCTCTGTAGTCGGTAGAGGGCTTGGACTCCCAGAGGCTGCATGAGGTGGTTCGGGTGGGGTCGCTGCAGTGGGCTGGATGGGCCTCCCTGCACAATGGGGAGAACAGTTTGGGCTGCAGGGCTGTGAGAAGGGGTGTCAGAGGGCCCTGCTTACCGGCCGGGGACGCGAGCAGCTAGGGGTCTTGTCGTACAGTGTCTTCATGGATGCCCAGTAGTCCTCATCGTCGTCCTCGTCCTGCTGTTGCTGCTGTTCGGACAAACAGTCGCGGTCCAACTGGGCGGAGAGGGAGTAGGTCCCTTTGCGCTGTGCGTAGGCCCTCCATTCGGTGGGGGACAGGCGCGGGTGGTCCCGCTGCTGCGATTCCCGGGCTTCCCGGATTTCCCGGACGATGCCATGAGCCCAGGCTTCCGGCTTCTCCTGCATCTTGGTGCTGCGCCGGGAGCCTGGCTCAGGCTCCGGGGGCGTGGGAGGCCGAGATTCCGGCAGCATGGGTGACTTGGACTGCGTGGGGGGCGAGGGCTGTGCAGACAGTTGCTGCGGCGAGTCGTGCTGGCTAGGGGAGGTGGATGGAGTCCTGGAGGTGGCGGAGCTGTTAGGTTGCTGAAGCAAGAAAAGAAGCATGCAGATTCGAGACCCACCCAGTGTCAGTGCCCCAGTTCCAGTCAAGGTTGCCGCTCCAGCCCTGTCCCCTTCCCTCTGCCAGTCCCTGTCGTATTCCTAAGCTCCAGATTGATCGTAGTTTCACTCTCAGCCCCTTTAAGTAGGGCTTAAAGTGGTACTGAGGTATGTTAGTGTTCTAAGCATTTGGTATTTCTGTAAAATGGACACACGGGACAGTCTGCTTTTGTTTTCCCCTAACTCCTCCATCAGCACCTCACATATTTGTAGGTAGGACACAGGTCCTTATCTTTGTCCTTAGGGAGCTATGACATAGTTTGCAAAGTTCTGCCCCTTGCTTCCCATATACCTGCCGTCAGAGCCCTCCTGGTAGGGCAGAGAGCTTGAGGAATGGCACTTTCTCTGCCACTGCCTCCATATGTGACCTTGGTTAACTGGATGAGGAAACTGTACTAGCTGTTCCCACCAGGAGACTCTACACAGAACTCAGGGTGTCTCTGCACATTTGCCATGGAATAATGCAATGATTGCTGGAAAGGCTGATGGTCTGGAGAAGAGAGTGTCTCCTATTGCCTTTAGTGCTTCATGTGCCAGTGGAAGCTCAATTGGAGAGAATGATCTTCCTAAATAGAAAGGGTCCAGTCTAGAGTAAGGACCCCCTTACTAAGGTAGATGAGCATCCATGTTTTATTTCAGTTTCTATGATTGCTTCACATCTAACTTGAAAATCATATTCTTGGCTAGATTATTGAGGCAAACCTGACGAAGAGATAAAGGGCAGATGGATCAGGCAGGGATATGTGTTTTCCCAGTGGGTGGGTCTGCATCGCTCTCTCTGCAGCCACAAAACTTAAAACCAACTTTTTGGCTTATGTGGCTAGGTCTAGTTAAGGGCTTAAAGGGTTACACAACCTAATACACTCGAACAATTTATCTCCTACAGCGATCTTTCCATCCTCTCTTCTCTGAGAGTCTTACCAAAAGACCAAACCAAACCCACTGCCATCGAGTTGATTCCAACTCATAGTGACCCTATAGGACAGAGTAGAACTGCCCCACAGAGTTTCCAAGGAGTGCCTGGTGGATTCAAACTGCTGACCTTTTGGTTAGCAGCTGTAGTGCTTAACCACTACACCACCAGAGTCTCAGGTACTCGATACATCTTTGTTGAATGAAAGAATGACTGAGAGACCGTAGAGTATAGTGATGAAGTGTGTAGCCTCTGGATTTAGAGACCCTGAGTTTTAATCTTAGCTCTACCACTTACGAATGTGAAACCTTAGGTAAGTTACTCTTTGCTTCAGTTTTCTCAGCTGTAAAATGAGGTTTATTGGGGGAGAGGAGTTTCTTGTGAGAGCTAATTAGCTAAAACCTGTATGTAGAACAGGGCTTCGCACATAGAAAGCACCTGTAGATGCTAATCCTTATTTATCATCTACTCTTTCCTTTTCATCTCCATCTCTACCTTAAGACTGGTGTTCCTGCTTCTGGGTTCGTCCATGGATGGAGCCCTGGTGGATGGGCTCCGTGATGTCCGGGACCATTGATTTCGCACGAGATATCCTCGAGAGTCTGCCTTTGTTAACTCTTGGGATCCCTGTCAAGGAGAGAAGAGACCTAGAGGTGTACCACTCCTTCCATAAATATGTCTGCAGAATAACCATATCAGGCTAAAAATGGTGGGGCCCAATAAGAAGATTCTTGCCCTCTATGACCCTTTATTTAACCTTGACCATGTGTAGTATTCTAGCTCTGGCCCAGTCCTAACTTCTGTGTGGCAAACGAAATGGGGATCCACAAAGAAGAATATCTAAAATCAAGAAACAAATCTGGCACTCTTGTTTCTTTTCACCTGTTGATTCCTCTTTTTAAAACTTAACAGTGTTGGCCATTTTTCCTCCCTTCTTCCCATTCTTTCCCTTAAAGATAAGTCTGTTCACAGATGCTAAAATGATATATCCACCATTTTTTACCAGATTACAAATATGAAGGCAGTTGATACATAAATAGGAGTCCCTGGGTGGCACAAATGGTTAAGTGCTTGACTACTAACCGAAAGGTTGGCAGTTTGATCCCACCCAGAGGCACTTTGGAAGAAAGGCCTGGTGGTCTGTTTCTGAAAGGTCACAGCTTGAAAGCCTTGTGGAGCAGTTCTACTCTGCGCACCTGGGGTCTCCCTGAGTCATAATTCACTTGATGGCAACTGGTTTAGTTTTTTGGTTTTGGTGCATAAATAAGGCTGCATCCGGGCTCCAAGGATGCTGTATAAAAGGAAATAGAGCCCGCTAGCCTTGCCTTTAGGAGGTCAAGGATTGAGAAGACCATGGAGAGGCAAGTGGAATAGTTTGTATTCCCCATATCCTTCCCCTCACCCAGACTGCCTGCGGCTTCCCTCCAAAATCAGTAGTGCAATCTGCTCACCCTGATCATGGTGATCTGCCGGCCCTGCTCCCACAACAGGCACATGTGAATATAAATACGTATTGTGTGGCAGGGGCCAAGAAGTACTGTTCCTGTTCCCTCAGCTGCACAAAGGCAGTGTCTACACGACGAGTGACCTCGCATGGAGCAACATCTCACTGAGTGATTCGGATAGAATGCACGCTTCATCTGAAAGATTGTGCAGAAAATGGTCAATGCCATGGCCAGACTCCCCTTCCCTCCCTGATTTGAACAAAGACCAGTCTGCTCGCATAGGCTGAGCAGAGGCCAAAAAAAAAAAACAAAAAAACCCATTGCCATCGAGTCGACTCCAACTCATAGCGACCCTATAGGACAGAGTAGAACTGCCCCATAGGGTTTCCAAGGCAGTAATCTTTATGGAAGCAGACTGCCACATTTTTCTCCCATGGAGCAGCTGGTGGATTCCAACTGCTGACATTTCAGTTAGCAGCCAAGCACTTAACCACTGTGCCACCAGGGCTCCTCTGAGCAGCGGAAATGACTGTATTTCTATGCCACATGTTCTGTGTGAACATGAGGGATGTGGACTGGAGGGGAAGGCAGGGATCAGCTTCTCCTAATTTTCCTTAACCTCTTCATTAGGATATTAGGTATCCCTAAATACAAATTTCAACACCTCAGTCAACTCCCCCAAAACTCTTCAATCCCCTAATTTTTTTTTTTCATTATACTTTCTGCCTTCTAATTTTCTCACCAGTCCCACAGAGATTAGCTCACCTGAGTGGTCACACGAACTCCTGGTTTCTCAGAATCCTTTCTTTTCTCTCCTTCTAGGCTTTCTTTTGAGTACCTCATCCCGGCCTCATTCTTAATACGGAAACAAAGAATGTTTATTTATTTTAAAATATTAGAGGCATTAGAAACTTTGAGTTTGAAAATAAACAAAAAAAAATTGTCTCTTTTGTCAATATCTCAATATCAATATATATAAAACTCCTTGGAAACCCTATGGGGCAGTTCTACTCTGTCCTATAGGGTCGCTATGAGTTGGAATCTACTCAACAGCAATGGGTTGTATCTTTATATTAATATATAATTATAAATATACATATACATACATATATACATATACGTGTACATATATATGCAGATGACACAACCTTGCTTACTGAAAGTGAGTAGGACTTGAAGCACTTACTGATGAAGATCAAAGACTACAGCCTTCAGTATGGATTACACCTCTACATAAAACTAAAGTCCTCACAACTGGACCAATAAGTAACATCATGATAAACAGAGAAAAGATTGACGTTGTCAAGGATTTCATTTTACTTGGATCCACAATTAATGCCCAGGGAAGCAGCAATCGAGAAATCAAATGACATATTGCATTGGGCATATCTGCTCCAAAAGACCTCTTTAAAATTTTAAAAAGCAAAGATGTCACTTTGAGGACTAAGGTGCACCTGACCCAAGCCATAGTATTTTCAATTGCCTCATATGCATGCGAAAACTGGACAATGAATAAGGAAGACCAAAGAGGAATTGACGCCTTTGAATTATGGCGCTGGCAAAGAATGTTGAATATACCATGGACTGCCAGAAGAATGAACAGATCTGTCTTGGAAGAAGTACAACCACAACCAGAATGCTCCTTAGAAGCGAGGATGGCAAGACTTCATCTTACCTACTTTGGGCATATTATCAGGAGGGACCATTCCCTGGAGAAGGACATAATGTTTGTTAAAGTAGAGGGTCAGCAAAAAAGAGGAAGACCCTCAATGAGCTGTATTGACTGTATTGACACAGTGGCTGCAACAGTGGGCTCAAACATAGCAGCGATTGTGAGGATGGTGCAGGACTGAACAGTGTCTCGTTCTGTGTTCTGCTGTACATAGGGTCATTATGAGTCAAAACCGACTTGATGGCGCCTAACAACAACCTAACAATGTGTGTATAGATATATATATGGAGCCCTTGCGGCACAGTTGTTAAAGTGCTTGGCTGCTAATCGAGAGGTTGGTGGTTCGAACCCACCCACCGCTCCATGGGAGAAAAGACTTGGTGATTTTCTCCTGTGAAGATTTCGGCTTAGGAAATCCTATGGAGAAGTTCTACTCTGTCCTATAGGGTTGCTATGAGTTGGAATCCACTTGATGGCACACAACAACAACAGCAACATATAAACAGTTGTTGTTAGTTGCTGTTGAGTCAGCTCCAATTCACGGTGATATTTTATATAACAGAACAAAACGTTGCCCTGTCCTGTGCCATCATAGTAACTTGTTGGTATATTTGAGTCACATACATATGTTATATGTATATATACAGAATCGTGTGTATATATAGATATATATGTATAGATACAGAATCACGTGTGTATATATACATGTATATATACAGAATCATGTATATATATATATATATCCATGTATATATATCTATATATTATACAATTTTCCCTCTGTTCTCACAAGCGTGAGTGAAAAGAACAGATATCAATGAACTATACATTTTTTTTTAATACAGATATTTGTTGATTCATAGATTTGAGGTATGGAGCATTTGTCATTTAAAACATGATAACATGGCAAGCACTATTATTTTATGGGAGAATTTTCCAGGGGGCAGCAGGATTTGGATTTAAATGTGAAGTTGTTTACACAGATTAACTTTTCCTTTTTCCCTTTTTCCCTTACTCTGAAGATTGCTACTTATGTAACTTTTTCTTTTGCTATATGTAATTGAAACTTTTTTCCTAACTATAAGCTTACATTTTTAAAAAAGTAGATCTAAACCTCATCAATATTAAGCTGATTTTCAAAATCAAGGTCCTTAATTCTGTACAGATTTATTGACAGACATATTCTCCAGAGACTTCTATCCTTATCATCTAATTGCTCATAACAACTAGAGTAACAAGGCGTTTCATATCAATAAACTGATAAAGAAGACAGTGTAAGAGAGAACAAGAAGGCCATAATTCACTTTATGGAAGCCTATTCACATAATTATGTTTTCACTTTCAATCCAAGGAGGTACTTACTGGAGCACTATTTGCACTATTCATGTTAATTCAGTAGCTGTAATTAAGACTGGTGTTATTTATCTGTTTATGTAGCTCAACTTCTAGGTTAGACCAAGGTGCCCGGGGCAGTCTGTTCATCTCTTTATGTTCAGTACCTTGCACCCAAGAAAAACGTGATCAAAGTTAGCTGAATAATTGATTCTGTGACTGCAGAGATTGACATAGCTGTGCGGTCCTTGAACTAATCCTAAAAATCCTTTCACCACCCCACCCCTCCACCGCACACACATACCAAAAACCCATTCAAACCCATTGCGGAGTTCATTCTGACTCATAACGACCCTATAGGACAGACTAGAACTGCCCCATAGGGTTTCCAAGGCTGTAATCTTTATGGAAACAGACTGCCACATCTTTCTCTTGCGGAGCAGCTAGTGAGTTCAAACTGTCAACCTTTCTGTTAGCAACTGAGCGTGTTACCACTGTGCCACTAGGGCTCCTCCCACCCACACACCAGTAACCATAAAATCTTGTTACTCTCTAATTCTAAAAGATCTCTTAAATCCAGTCTCTCTTCTCCATCCCTATTATCATTGCCTTGTTTGGGCCTTGGATCATCATGGGCTAGCCTTTTGAACAGGTTTCATGGCCTCAAATCCTCCCCACTTCTAGATCCAGCCATCCCATAAAGTGATATTTATAATATGTAAATCTAATTATGTTTTTTTCCCGGTAAACTTCCTCTTGATTAGATAAACAAGGCACTCCATGATGTACTTCTGTCTTTAACTTGCGTTCCCTCCAGTATTTACACTTTTATCTCTATGCTCTGCTTATACCAAAAGCCTTGTATTTCCCTACATACCACGCTTTTATTCCTTGTAACCTTCTCAGCTCTTTAATGTTCTTCAAAACGCAGTTCAAAGTGGCCTGGGGTAAGTGCCCAGAGTTAAACATCCCCCTGTGCTCCCTGTGTCCTTTACTGAATTGTACTTTGTTTATGTATTCTCTTTCCTACTAGGCTGTGTGTTCTTCAAAGACAGCAACTGTGTTTTCACCTCTTAGCACTAACAGATGAGCATATGCTCAATAAATGCTGATTTATTGGATTGGCTTATACTAGCTGCTTTAATCTCTTTTTCTCCATTCTTTTCACTTCCTTTTCTTTTCCTCCTTGCCTTTTCCTCTGCCTGTAGCCATTGTCTGAAATAATTTGGTTGTAGCAGAGCATTCCCAGAGGTAAATGATGGTCCAAAACTCAACATTTCTTCAGCTCAGCTCCATAGCAAGGTCCTAGGACATTCATATTCACTGACCTTCTTTTTCTGTTTCAAGGATGTTTGACTCATTTCTTTCACTATTGAAATTCTGTTGTTGTTAGGCAGGTTTTCCTCTCCCCAGCTCCATTTCCTGTTGCTTCTCCTGCTCAGTCTAGCTCTGCATTTAGAATGTCAAATTTATGACATCATATGTGATCCCATAGTAACAAACTGACTCTGAATACATGATTATGCTTTTTTTCAAAAAGCAATATTATTTCTTGATATTTGAGTCTGTCCTATGTGTAACCACTGTCTGTGTTTTTAGGAAATAATGTCTGAACAATGTTCAAATGTATAATATGTAGCAATATCAATACTACTACTTCATTTTTTTTACAACACTTTAAGCATTACTATATTGCTTATCATATCAATCCCAATTATGTACATTTTCTGGTACGGCTAAAATGAATGGCAGCCTCATTTGTGGACCCAACCATTTATCGTTGTTCTACCTGACAGGCTTTAAATGGGTTTCCCCAAATCTGGAGACCATTTTTGACAGCTCAGACTTTTTCTAAATTTGGTGTGGAGCTTTAGTGAGAAAGCAACAGAAGTGCTTGGTGTTTCTTTGACAATGGCAAGACCCATTGAGAAAGACACTGTGAAAGCACTTTCCTTGTGAGTAGACACTGTGTCAGAATTAGCTGAATTTGTCTTTCCTGATGTTTGCCCAGTCCTTTGTCTTGTAAACACCTATCTGTCCATCCTGTGTACACACAGAGAAGAATATGTAAATGCCAGCCCCTGACTGAGTCCAACTCAGTTCTGTACTTTACCATTCTGATTTTACCTTCACCCGAGCTTTAGGCAAGAGACATGTGCCATGCCAGCCTGAGCTGGTGAAACCATCGTGAACTGAGCCAGATTCCTGGCTTCTCTTCATGGGAGAAGATAACTAAATTTGAATATCAGAAGTTTTTGACATTTTAACAAAAGTTTACCAAGAGATCTTCTAGAGAATAAAACATGCGGGCTCTGGGTTAGACCACCTGAGTTTGAATCCTTTTACCCCATATCTAACTGTGATCCTGGATAAGTTGTTAATTTTCCTAAATCTTAATTTCCTCATTTATGCAACGGAGATAATAATAGTATCAACCATTAGTGGTTATTGCGAAGCTTGAAATATTATAAAGTACTTAAGATGCTGCCTGTCATATCATAAATGATGAATAAATGTTAGCTATTACTTTTATTCATAATTTTTGCTACAGATATACTACAGAACTCAAATAGAAAATATTTAAATCATGTAACCCCACTGCAATCTAATTTCAGCAACAGAAGCTTAAAAAGTACTTATTGTTCACATTTGTAAACAATCAAATTTCAGTTTGGTGATTTTTCCCATCTCCTAAAGTCTAACCTTAGTGGCAGAGACAGAGCAAAGAGAGCCAGCCTAGGAGAGGCAGGCATCAGAATAGCAGTAAGGAACCACAACTGCAGAGCTAACACTTGTGTTCTACAAAAACAGAAGGAAGATCCTGCAGAGATAAGGGACTGAAAGCAGCTTTGGTTTCTGACTAGTCCTTCTAGCCTACCTACACCCAAGAACAGCTTTCCTTCTGGTCCCTTCCATGAGTCCTCCTCCACATAATTCAACATTCATTTACTCAGTAAGTTCCTTGATTATTGGTCTTTATCCACACAGCCTAGCACAGAATGGGAGCCTAATGAGTGTTCTGAATTTTATGATTTTACATATTGAGATATAAATATATAACTATTTATGCTTTGTTCTAATGCTAAGGGTGAATTTAAAGAATTATTTGGGTATTTTTTTCAGATTTCTTCATTTTTTTTTTTTTTTCCCCTTTCATTCTCTTCTAATTCTTAGCTTTGTTAGTGAGAATGGAAAACATGCATGCAGCATATATTTTGTTTGGCTTGGACTCTCCTCTCCATGAGGTCAACCTTGGTAATAAAACCAAGAGGCTACTTTGTTATGATTTTGTCATACAGCCTTCCTAGATCAGCCAGAATTGATTTTGATAATGGAATTACCACTGTCAGTTCTAGTTATTGATAAAATAAATTTAAAAAAAAAAAAGACTTCATGGTTGTTGATGTTGTTAGGTGCCATCAGGTCGGTTCCATCTCATAACAACCCTATGTGAAAAAGAACGAAACACTGCCCAGTCCTGCACCATCGTCACAATCGTTGCTATGCTCGAGCCCATTGTTGCAGTCACTGTGTCAGTATTGTCTTGTTGAGGGTCTTCCTCTTTTTTGCTGACCCTATACTTTACCAAGCATGATGTCCTTCTCCAGGGACTGATCCCTCCTGACAACATGTCCAAAGTATGTAAGACATAGTCTCGCCATCCTTGCTTCTAAGGAGCATTCTGACTGTACTCCTTCCAAGACAGATTTGTTCCTTCTTTTGGCGGTCCGTGGTGTATTCAGTATTCTTTGCCATCACCACAATTCAAAGGTGTCAATTCTTCTTAGGTCTTCCTTATTCATTGTCCAGCTTTCACATGCATATGAGGCAGTTGAAAACAACCAGGCTTGCTTGGGTCAGGCGCACCTGAGTCTTCAAGGTGACATCTTTCCTTTTCAACACTTTAAAGAGGTCTTTTGCAGGAGATTTGCCCAATGTAATGTGTCTCTTGATTTCTTGACTGCTGCTTGCACGGGTATTGATTGTGGATTCAAGTAAAATGAAATCCTTGACAACTTAAATCTTTTCTCAGTTTATCATGATGTTGCTTATTGATCCAATTGTGAGGATCTTTGTTTTCTTTATTTTGAAGTGTAGTCCGTACTGAAGGCTGTGTCTTTGATCTTCATCAGTAAGTGCTTCAGATCCTCTTCACTTTCAGCAAGGAAGGTTGTCATCTGCATAATGCAGGTTGTTAATTGAGTGTTCCTCCAATCCTGATGCCCCATTCTTCTTCATATAGTCCAGCTTCTCGGATTATTTGTTCAGCATACAGATTGAATAAGTATGGTGAAAGGATACAACCTTGACGCACACCCTTCCTGACCTTAAATTACACAGTATCCCCTTGTTCTGTTGGAATTACTGCCTCTTTATCTATGTACAGGTTCCTTATGAGCACAATTAAGTGTTCTGGAATTCCTATTCTTCGTAATGTTATCGACAATTTGTTATGATCCACACAGTTGAATGCCTTTGCATAGTCAATAAAACACAGGCAAACATCTTTCTGGTAGTCTCTGCTTTCAGCCAGGATCCATGTGACATCAGCAATGATATCCCTCGTTCTACGTCCTCTTCTGAATCTGGCTTGAATTTCTGGCAGTTCCCTGTCAATATACTGCTGCAGCCACTTTTGAATGATCTTCAGTAAAATTTTACTTTTGTGTGATATTAAGGATATTGTTTGATAATTTCCACATTTGGTTGGATCACCTTTCTTGGGAATAGGCATAAATACAGATCCCTTCTAGTTGGTTGGCCAGGTAGCTGTCTTCCAAATTTCTTGGCATAGACAAGTGAGCACTTCCAGTGCTGCGTCTGTTTGTTGAAACATCTCAGTTGATATTCCATCAATTCCTGGAGCCTTGTCTTTTGCCAATGCCTTCAATGCAGCTTGGACCTCTTCCTTCAGTACTTTCAGTTCCTAATCATATGCTGCCTCCTGAAATGGTTGAACGTCGACCAATTCTTTTGATATAGTGACTCTGTGTATTCTTTCCATCCTCTTTTAATGCTTCCTGCATCGTTTAATATTTTCCCCGTAGAATCCTTCACTATTGCAACTTGAGGCTTGAATTTTTTCTTCAGTTCTTTCAGTTTGAGAAATGCTGAGCATGTTCTTCCCTTTTGGTTTTCTACCTCCAGGTCTTTGCACATGTGATAATACTTTACTTTGTCTTCTCGAGCCGCCCTTTGAAATCTTCTATTCAGCTCTTTTACTTCATCATTTGTTCCTTTCGCTTTAGCTACTTGATGCTCAAGAGCAAGTTTCAGAGTCTCTACTGACATCCATTTTGACCTTTTCTTTCTTTCCTGTCTTTTTAATGACCTCTTGCTTTCTTTATGTATTATGTCCTTCCACAGCTTGTCTGGTCTTTGGTCATTAGCGTTCAGTGTGTCAAATCTGTTCTTGAGATGGTCTGTAAATTCAGGTGGGATATGCTCAAGTTCAGACTTTGGCTCCTGTGGACTTGTTCTGACTTTCTTCAGTTTCAACTTGAACTTGTATATGAGCAATTGATCTGTGCCACAGTTGGCCCCTGGGCTTGTTCTGACTGATGATATCGAGCCTGTGCATCATCTCTTTCCACAGACGTAGTCGATTTGATTCGTGTGTATTCCATCTGGTGAGGTCCACGTGTATAGTCGCAGTTTATGTTGGTGAAAAAGGTATTTGCAATAAAGAAGTTGTTGGCCTTGCAAAATTCTGTCATGCGATTACCGGCATCATTTCTATCACCAAGGCCATATTTTCCAACTACCAATCCTTCTTGACTGAAGATGAAATGAGTTATGGATGACATCAAGGACATCATACATGAGGAAAGTTTTTTTCTTCACCCTTGCCATCCTGCTTCATCTTGATCTGTAGAACTAAATTTTGTAGAAAATAACTCTGTTATCTTCATTGGTTTTCTTCCCTGAATCTAAAGATACAAAAGTCACTAAAATGTCAAAATTTATTGATATTTAAAGTGTTTGTAGATATGTGGATAGATTAAAAGATGACAAAGTTTAGTAAAAATTAAAGAGTTCGGAAAAAGAAGACATCTGTGAACTCACTACTCTGCTATAGCCATTATTAGCATGATGGTATATTTCTTCCAAATTTTTTTTCATCCATTTGTTAACTCCCCCATCTTTTTAAAATATTGATATAACTATATAGTATATACAATTCAGTGTCCTGCTTCTTTTCCATACAATATTAAACATATTTTCCATGCTATTACTTGATTTGAGTAATCATAATTTTTAATGACTCCATAATATTCTATGGTAGATGCTTGACAATTTGCATAATCATTTCCCTACTATTGAATAATTATATACATGCAAGTTTTTGCTATTATTAATA